TATCATGTGTGTTGTGGAGGAGGCAATCACCGAGCACAAGGGCAACGCTGGAAAGGATGAAGTGAGGGGAAGTTTTGATGCTAGATTTGGGGTGGTGGCCGTGGAAACCTCGACCGGAGACGTGATGTACGGTCACTTTATGGACACTGTCACCAGGACGGAACTGGAATCACGCTTGCTTGCGTGTGCTCCCGCAGAACTTTTTTTATCTGCGTCCTTGTCCACTTCTACAAAGAAGGTAAGCTGTTTTCTTTTCTCTGATCGGGTTGTATATGAATGATGGTGATTTTTCTATAGTTGTTGATGGACTATGCAGGCGCAGCAGATGTTCGAGCCGAGAAGACGCCTGAGAACTCATTTGAAAATGGCGGTACTGTTGCTGCTCTTGCGGACTTCTACGGGAGCTTGGCGTCTTCTAAGAAAGGCTGTCTGGACGAGAAGGTTGATGCAGGGTTAGAGGTAATTTTCTAGTTGTCTTGATTACATTATCGGATGAGAATTGAAGTTTGCAGGCGTTGATGACGATGCCAGAAATCGTGGTTGCTGCGTTTGCGCATATATTTGCTTATCTGAAGCAGTTTCATCTGGAAAATGTATTGCGCTTAGGAGCTCTTTTCCGACCATTTGCCGGACAGCAAGAGATGACGCTCTCGCCCAATACCATCCGCCAGCTTGAGGTAATCACTGAATGCGACGTTTACTTACGCAGTAACAAGTTTTTTCTTTCTAGATTCTACATAACCAAACTGATGGTACTGAAAACGGATCTTTATTCTGGCTTATGAACCACACAAAAACTGCTTTTGGCGTGAGGCTGCTTAAGTATTGGGTAAGGAGTTTGGTCTCAGTCACAATCTTGGATTTTTCGTTTTTTCATTCATGTCTATTTTCAGGTGACCCATCCGTTAAGAGACCGCATGCTTATTTCTCAACGTTTAGACGCCGTTGCGGAAATTGCCGAATCCATTGGAGATAAAGGCAGAGGTACAACAGTTGCAACTTTAGCTTCAACGTTGTTGCTGCTGGGAAAATTGCCTGATCTTGAGCGTGGTATCACAAGAATTTATCACAAAACAGCAACGTATGAGGCACCTTTCCTTTTCTGTAATCCTGTTGTTATTCTTTCTGACCGTAATGTTTGCTGCAGTTCATTAACGTGATTAATGCGATTATGAAAGCAGCGTCGCAGTTTCAACGGGTTCGCGACACCAGGTCTGCGCTCCTCAGCAGGCTAATCTCCGCAGTGACTTCAACTTCAGTGATAGATCACGCAAACAAGCTTGTGACAAGTTTGAATGCAGAGGCAGCAGTTGCCGGGGATAAGATTAACTTGTTTGTTGCCGGCCAGTATCCCGAGGTTTGTTATCGTTTCCCAGACTTCGCTTAAGTCGTGTTTCAGGTAGACGAATGCAAAGAGAACATAAAAAGTATTGAGGAGGATCTCGAAAGTTTTCTTCCCAGTTATCGGAAACTGTTGAAGTGTTCAAATCTGGAATACTTGAGCGTCTTGGAAACGTCGTTTTTGGTCGAGGTACTTTCTTTTTCTCAATTCAGTTATTTGATTGCTAAAAGCTTGTAGTTTCAGGTTCCATGTGCGCAGCGTGTACCTGCAGATTGGTACGAAAAAGGCAAACCGCTATCATCCTCCGGAGGTCTTGGAAGCATCGGAAAGAATGGCACTTGCAAAGGAGCAATTAAATATATCTTGCGCCAAAGCATGGGACATGTTCCTGACTGACTTTACCTCCTATCACATGGAGTTCCGGGCTGCAGTACAGGCACTAGCAGCTCTCGACTGTCTTGATTCCCTTGCTGTTGTCTCGTGCAATCAGGTCTGTCTCCTTGTGTTTTTCAACGCTTATCTGAATGAAAATGTGCTTCAGGGGTATGTTCGACCGGAGTTCGTGGATGAAGCGTGCCTTTTGAAGATAGAAGGTGGTCGACATCCGGTTTGTTTCTTTTGCTCTTGTGGTTTAATATTATTACTGAGATTTCTTTCCATGAGCAGGTCCTAGATTCGACTCTGCAAGATGCATTTGTACCAAATGACACAGTTCTTTCTGGTGAGGGTGAACGATCGCAAATAATCACTGGTCCAAACATGGGTGGTAAAAGTTGCTACATCCGTCAAGTTGCTCTAATCACAATCATGTCCCAGGTTCGCAACTATCTTTATTTCTTTTCACTCCGTATGTTTTGTTATCGTGCAGATAGGATCGTATGTTCCAGCCGTGACAGCCAAACTGCATGTATTTGATGCCGTGTTTACGAGAATGGGGGCGATGGACAGAATCCAGAGGGGCTCCAGTACGTTTTTCGAGGAGCTGAGTGAAACTTCAACTATTCTCCACAAGGCAACTTCTCGCTCGCTGGTAGTCATCATCGAGCTGGGAAGAGGAACCAGCACGCACAACGGCGTCGCCATCGCGTATGCGACAGTCCATCACCTTCTCCAAGAGGTCCAATGCTTCACGCTCTTCATTACTCACTACTTGAATGTCACCTCCGGTTCAACCATACCATATGTCATATCTTGCGGAGAGCCTGGAAGGAGACCTTGACAAAAGCTCCGTGCAAAAAGCAGCACAAAAGGTGACATTCCTCTACAAGCTCTAGCTTGGTGCTATAGCAGACTATACCTCAAATTTGCATGATTTACTCACTATCCTTACTATATATTTGGAATTTATGTGTTGTCCTTGTTTTGTGTTTGGCTTGGGTCTAAACCTAAATTCCATGCCACTAATATGCTAAAATAGTGTTAAACTTTATTTAGCTTCGTTTTGCGTGTTAATCCTAGCATTGGGATGTTTGATGCTTCCAAGTTGCTTTATGCTCCTGTCCCTTCGCTCCTTAGGCTCTACATTTGAGAGTTGCTTCATGCTCTAATACTTTCACTCTTTAGGTCCATACTTAAAAGTTTGGCACTGTTCTTTCATTCAATTGCCTAAGGCCTTGAAACTTGGGTTCCACACCATTGTCTTTTGAACACGTGGCATATAACACATACTTCATGGTTATCTTATGGTAAATCACCATAGGATAAAGGGTAAAATCCATATGTATTACAAATTGCCCTTAGAAATATACTTGCTTATTTTTTAATTAATACCATTTGGTAACCTTAAATGTTTTTGTTAGCAACCAAAGAGAATAACTCGAAAGACAGTCTATAAGGTTCAAATATAAAAGGAAAAGGCCTATGAATAAGAGTGCACCCTTTTTTTAATTGATTAAGGGCTTTAGGATATTTAGGGTTAAGTGTCGTTGAGTTTAAGTTGAGTAACTTCTTGGGAAGTCTAAATTTAAGACCTTACATTTAGTATTAAAGAGGTCTTGGGTTCAACACTATTGATTGGTTAATGTGATTCAAGAGGTCTTGGTTTTAATACTATTGGTTGGTTAGTGCGATTCTTGGTTAGGGGAATCACATTATATATTGAGTAATATTTGGTAGATTTAATTTGTTCCGGCTAGGGCAATTCTGGGTTTGATACTGTTGGTTGGTTACGGGAATCGTATTACATGTTGATCGAACCAAAGGGTAAAGTGTCAAGATATTTGGTATGACCCGAGGGGTAAGATGTCAAAAGAGTGGGGCTCTTTGGTGACTCCCAAATTCCATTCACGAGGGTGTAAACTTGTAGGAAAGTGTGATGAATTCTTAACAACCAAAGAAAATAAATTGAAAGATAATTTATAATGTTCAAATATAGAAAGAAAGGTCTTATGAATAAGAGTGTACTTTTTTTTTCAATCGGTTAAAAGTTTTGAGATATCTTGAGTTAAGTGTCCTTAGGGGTGAAGAAGTCAAAATTTAGGAGCTTATAGCTTTTTAATTTCTCCTCTTAAGAAAATTAAAGATATTTATTTTTTCTAAAGGAATTAAAATACTATATAATTAATATTCTATTTAAGCTTATTATTTCTTAAGTGGTGAAGAACTTTTCAAGTGGATAAAATATTAATAGTTTCCTCTCTATCACTTGTATTTTCACTTTTATCCATTCTCTATATAACTTTTTTTTCTGGCCTATTTAAAAGTAAATTTATTATATTTCTAAAATTTACTAGTTATATTATGGTATTTTTACCTACTCCCAATGAATTATATTGATTAGATATGTATATTAAGTATACAGGGCGACCAGAGATGGACACCGGCTTACAAGCCTGGGATTGCGAGCGCGCTGAGGCACATTGTTCGCACCCAAGGCTACGCTGGGTTGTACAGGGCGATTTTTCCTGAGTACCTCAAGGTTTTTCCAGGCTAATGGTCCCCGATTCATTTCCAACCGTCAGATATTCTTGAATCGACGGCCTTGGTTGAATTTCCATGTTGCTAGCAAATATTTAGGGCTCTTGCGATGGATGAGACTTGGCGACGGCAGCGATTCGATGCGCCGCACCAGCATTCGCTCCTTCGGCAGCGCCGCCGCGGGCGCCCGATCAGCAGGTGTCGGCGTTGAAGGTCACAAGGGATTTGCGCAAGGGCAATATGCGCCTGGGCGTGGATCGCCCAGGCGGCGGAGAGCAAGCAGCTGGGGATCCATGTTGTCAATGCGCTTGTGGACATGTACGCGAAATGCGGCAGCATGGAGGATTCCCGCCGTGTGTTCGACAGCATTCTTCACCCAAACGTGATGTCCTTGATACTGGGCAGCGATCTTCGAGAGGATGCAAGCCAGGCGGTCGGGCTGCAAGCCAAACTCCAAGACGCGGCAAAGGCTTGTAGCAGCCTCGCGGCGAAGGAAGACGAGAAAGCGAGGTCGCTCTCGAGTTCTTTGGGAAAATGGACTGCTCGCCAAAGTCTTGGACTTTCGTTGCTGCTGCCAAGGGCTGTGCGAATCTAGCAGTGAAAGAGGAGGCCACCAAAAGATGGTGAAGACGAAGAGCCTGGAGAAGGAGCTCGCTGTTCACGATGGAGCTGTGAAAAGCCACTGCTGTGGAGATATCTTCGTGGGGAGCAGCCAAGTGACAGGTACTCAAAGTGTGGGAGCATGGTCGACGCGCGGATGGTTTTCGAGAGCATGCCTCGTCGTGATGTCGTGCTCTGGACGAGCTTGATACAAGGCTTTGTGGACAACGGGGAAAGCGAGCTGGCTCTCGTGTTCTTCGAAGATATGAAGCTATCTGGGTGCTGTCCAAGCCCTCGGACGTGTGTTGCTGCGCTTGCCGCCTGTGCGAGCTCGGCAATGCGAGAAGAAGCGGTGGATGTCGACGGCAAACTCGTGAAGAGAAAGAGCTTGGAAACCGGGGTGGCTATCCACGGTGAAGCTTCAAACACCAGGTGCTGTGAGGACGTGTTCGTGGGGAACACTCTGATCGATATGTACGCGAAGTGTGAGAAGCTAGAGGAAGCTCGCAGGGTCTTCGATGGCATGGCTGGCCGATGTAAGTGGAGACAGCAAGCTGGCCTTGGAGCTGTTCTTCGGCATGGCTCGGGAGAACGATCCGGACGAGAGAACGTTTGTTGCTGCGCTCATGGCCTGCGTCCACCTTTCAGCGTCCGAGCCACCTGTTCCGCGAGAAGATGGAAAGCTAGTGCGAATCCAGAGCCTAGAAAAGTGGATGGAGATTCATTCTCTCGCTGCGAAGTTTGGACGCTGCGAGCACAGATTTGTCGGGAGCAGCTTGGTGGACATGTATCCCAAGTGTGGAGATATGGTGAAAGCTCGAGCAGTTTTCAAACGCATGCCTAGCCTGGACGTTATCGTTTGGACGAGCTTGATACAGGGATATATAGACAACGGTGAGAGTGAGCTCGGGCTGGAACTCTTGGAGTGGACTGTGCTCCAAACTCTCAGACTCTTGTAGCGGGACTTACGGCCTAGCTGGAAGGAAACTCCAGACTGAGCTTTACAGGCGTGGGCTGGAAGACGATCAAGTTGTGGGGAGTAAACTTCTACAGGAAGTGCGGAGTTATGAGTGCGGCCGAGCACTTGTTTGGATCTCTGGCAGTCCGAGATATCGTCGCCTGGAATGCACTGATCACAGGATTCGGCCAACAGGGTGACACGTCACGCGTGTTCGAAGCCTTTCGCGAGATGCGAGAAGATGGCGTGCGAGCAAACGCAATCACGTTTGTCTCGGTCATCACTGCTTGCAGCCACGGCGGCCTAGTTGAACGAGGCAGGGAGTTTTTCCAGGCAATGGACCCGGACTCTGGCATTGTTTGCGGGATTCATCACTACAGCAGCTTGGTGGATCTCTTAACCGACTGGAAGAGGCCGTGAAAGTCCTCGAGAGCATGCCTTTGAGAGCGGATGCTGTGGTTTGGAGGATCGTCCTCGGGGCCTTCCGTAAGTGGAAGTGGGGAGGATTGCGTTCGAGGCACTGACGAAGATCGACGAGAATGACTCGGCTGCGTACGTTCTGATGGCGAGCATCTACCGGAGCGCGGGGCTGTGGGAGGATCATGATAAGCTCAAGACTATACAGGAGGCGGCCTTGAAAGCGGATAAGAAGAGTTCACTTCATCAAGCGGTCGATTACAAACTGGAAGGTAGAAAGGACGGCAGCAACATGGTGGACGAGCTAGAGATTTGATTGCCAGCATCCACAGAGCTGGGAATGAGCTCTGCGGTTTGCCGCAAAATAGGTCCAGAAGAACGCGTTGAAGGCGGCTGCCACGAAGATGGCAACGCTGACAAGTGTTGTCACCTCTCTTTGGTCCTGTTCGCTACCACCTTGTCCCTCTGTTCTAAGCTTGTGTGGCGGCATAGCAGTGCTCGAACAGGTGTTGGTCAGTGGCAAGCCACAGAGCTGATTCCCAGCGAAGAGAGCCGCGTCCATGGACGAGAGTTGCGGGCTGTCAGGTATCCGTCCCACCAGGCTGTTGTTGGAGACGTCGAAGATGGTGAGAAACGAGAGGTCCGCCACGGACGATGGTATGGAGCCATTGAGACGATTGCTTGCGAGCCCCACCCAGGAGAGATTCCTTGCCTTCCCCAGGGACTCGGGAATGGGACCTGTTAGCTGGTTGTGGCTCAGGTACAACCCCTGGAGCTTGTAGAGGTCGCCAATGGCAGCTGGAATGCTTCCAGTCAGCTGGTTGAAGGAGAAGTCTATGTAGGTCGGGAAGGCGAAACCGTTGTAGACGAGTCCTCGCTCGGTTTGAATCATCACAGACCGTTTGTTCTGGTCGTAAAGCTGGACGTTGGCAAACAGTCGGCCAATGCTTTCCGGCATCTCCCCAGAGAACCTGTTAACCGAGAAGTCCATGGCTCGTAAGTTCGTGAGCCTGGGAAGCCAGTCCGGTATGGAGCCACTGAATCTGTTGTTTGAGAGGAAGAGGAACTGCAGAGACGACATGGTTTGCAACATGGCCGGGATTGAACCGACAAGATCGTTGCTAGAAAGCTCTAGAATGAGCAGGCGACTCAAATTCCCGAAGCTGTCAGGGAGATTTCCAGAGAACTTGTTCTGGTTCAGCGAGAGACGGACGAGCTCGGTGCAGTTGGAGAGTCCGGAAGGGAGCTCCCCGCCGATGTCGTTCCTGCTGAGAACTAGCTGCTGGAGATGCGAGAGCTTCGAGAGCTCGCCTGGGATTGTTCCAGTCAAGTTATTGCTATCGAGCCATATCTCTTTGATGTTCGACCAGTTTCCAAGCTCTGGAGGTATGGCGCCACTAAAACGATTCCCCGTGAGAACCAGCTTCTGGAGATGCGAGAGCTTCGAGAGCTCGCCTGGGATTGTTCCAGTCAAGTTATTGCTGTCGAGCCATATCTCTCTGATGTTCGAGCAGTTCCCAAGGTCCGGAGGTATGGCGCCACTAAAACGATTCCCCCTGAGAACCAGCTTCTGGAGATGCGAGAGCTTCGAGAGCTCGCCTGGGATTGTTCCAGTCAAGTTATTGCTGTCGAGCCATATCTCTCTGATGTTCGACCAGTTTCCAAGCTCCGGAGGTATGGCGCCACTAAAACGATTCCCCCTGAGAACCAGCTTCTGGAGATGCGAGAGCTTCGAGAGCTCGCCTGGGATTGTTCCAGTCAAGTTATTGCTGTCGAGCCATATCTCTCTGATGTTCGACCAGTTTCCAAGGTCCGGAGGTATGGCACCACTAAAACGATTCCCCGTGAGAACCAGCTTCTGGAGATGCGAGAGCTTCGAGAGCTCGCCTGGGATTGTTCCAGTCAAGTTATTGCTGTCGAGCCATATCTCTCTGATGTTCGAGCAGTTCCCAAGGTCCGGAGGTATGGCGCCACTAAAACGATTCCCCCTGAGAACCAGCTTCTGGAGATGCGAGAGCTTCGAGAGCTCGCCTGGGATTGTTCCAGTCAAGTTATTGCTGTCGAGCCATATCTCTCTGATGTTCGACCAGTTTCCAAGCTCCGGAGGTATGGCGCCACTAAAACGATTCCCCATGAGAACCAGGATCTTCAAGTTCCTCAAGTTTCCCAGCGTAGCCGGGATCGTTTTGTTAAACCCGTTTAGCCCGAGGTGCAAAACCTCGATGCTTGCAAAGTCGCCATCTTCCAGCTCCAGTGGCCCGGAGAGAGAGTTGTATGCAGCGCGTAATTCCGAGAGCTTGCGTAGCCTTCTCAAGCTCGGTGGCAAACCACCCTGGAGCGAATTTTCGGAGATACGCATGTACCTGAGCTCCAAGTTCTTGCTCCAAATATTGGGTAGATCTCCGCTAAACCTGTTGTACGATATGTCCAGGCGTGTCAAGTTCGTCATCTCCCCGAAAGTTTCTGGAATGGAGCCGCTGAGTCCGTTGTGCGAGAGTTCCAGTGCCTCCAGTCCCAGGTTACCACCAATGGAAAAGTTCCCAGTTAAGTTGTTGATGGACAGGTTGAGCGATCGCAGGGTCAAGCTAAACTTTGGGAGTCTGGCCACTGTTAAGTTGTTCCCACTGAGGTCCAGGCTTTCCAAACTCTCGAGGATGGAGAGATTTCCGGGGAACTCTTGCAGGGAATTGGAGCTCAAGTTGAGGAGGTTGAGCTGCGTATTTTTGCAAGGGACTTCCAGCGAGGAGAGGCCGTTTTGCGAGAGGTCCAGGCGAGCCAGCGATGGAAGCTCGGCCCAGGTGGCAGGAAAAACTCCCGAGAGATTAAACCTGGACAGAGCGAGGCCCTCCACTTGGTTGTCCGAGCTCCACTCCACTCCCCGCCATGCTCTTGGATTGGCAGTCTCGTTCCACACTTTGATGCCAAGCCTGTCACGGAGAGAGAGAAGAACCTGTGTGTCGTTCACGATTGCAGATGGATTTGTGGGGCACTGTGACCGGGATCTTGTGAGAAAGACGAGTAGAAACAAAGGCAGCAGCAAATCCGCGAAAGACATGGCCATGGATCAGAACATCAAAGAGTGAACGCTATCATGAAAGATGAGGTTCTTCTTTTTGCAGAGTTTACACGCACATTTGATAACCAATTCTTGGCACAATTGAGGTAGTCAATAAAGTGGGGGACTTGGGATTTGCCATTGGTATACTGGGCTATCAACTATATTATATAACATAGATTTTTGTACAATTTTTTTTTGTGGTGATTTTTTGGCCACGGTGGATAGAATGTGGACTTCGACAGGTCAAGACTTAGACTTGACTTCCACCAGTCCGTAAAAGCATTATAATGATATGTTTTTCCAACAAAGTTTTTGTGTTTGTTGGAAATCTAAGTTGTAATCAACTCAATTTAATGTTAGTAGCAAATTGGCTTTATTACAAATTTTAAGTTCTAATTTGTGATAGCTTTATAATTACTCAAATTTAAGTTGGAAATTATAGTTGTCCTTTACAACTAAAATATAAATCATAATTTGTAGTAACATATTCTTTAAAGCTAGATAAGCTCATATATGTTGCTAATTAGAGTTGCAATTTACAACTTTTAAACTGTGACTAAAATGTAAGTTCTTAAGGTTTGTAGTTCCAAAAGTTTTAGTCATAAATTTCAACAATATTTACATCAACTAAATTACTAATAGCAGTATAATGTACCCACTTTTAACATATAATTTCCTAATAAAAGAACTTTGTTTTCTTCCTCAGATCTGTATTAAGCTTTTTGTTCAGGATTTAGGAATGAGAGTTGCATGTTAGTGTTTAAGGTGTAGAAGTAATTATATTTACCTTATACAAATTATCATAAATTATATTTGTCTTTATGGTAAACATACTTTATCACCACATAATGCATGGTTTTCAATGGAAGATATTCAAGGGATTAGATTATGCAGATCTACTACTTTAGTACAACAATTTTTTGAAATTGATAAAAGCTCTATAGTTCCAAATGATTGTTATATTAATTTGAGTGGTGGTAATGGTAGTGGCAATGATGATTTTGAGGATGATAATATATTTAATTATTTTAAAGATTACTTACATGGAAATGAAAACAATTTATTACCTATTTATAAAGGAGCAAGTGCTTCTATTTTGTTGGCTGGTTTAAGGATTCTAGATGTGCAAATTATTACTAGAATATCAAGCCAAGCAACAGATCATTTTGTAAGGTAATTAATTTTTATTTATTATTTAGTATTAAATTTTTCATTATTTGGATGAAGGATCTTTACAAAAATGTTGCCTACAAATAAAAGTTTTCAAATAATTATAAGGAAGTGGTAAATATCACTAAACATAATGGACTTACCTATAAAAAGATTGATTCATGCTTCAATGATTTTATGTTATTTCATAAGGAGAATAAAGACCTTCAATTTTATCAAATTTCTATTGCTAGAAAGCACAAAGATTTTAACAATTATATACCTGAGAAAATAATGCACTATTTCTCTATTATACTTTGACTTCAATAATAATTTCAATGTAGAGAAATAACACAATATATAACTTATCATTTTATCAATGATCCACTAATGGAATAATGAGAATGCCTACAAATGGTTCAACTTACAAAAAATTCTAAGATGATTACCCAAATTTTGCAGTAGATCCAAGAAATATACATCTTACTATGGCTGCAAATGATCTATCTCCGACAAAATTAATGGCAAAAATATATTCATGTTAGGCAATTGTTGCAATTAATAATAATATACCACCAACTCTAGCAATTAACCATTCATTTATATTTCTTATTATGATTATACCAGGTATTATTTAAAAAATAAAATGAAATATTTATATTTATAATTTTTCTAGGCCCAAAACTTCCTAAGGTACTTCATATTTATTGGTTATTATTTTTGGAAGAGTTGAAACAATTATGGGATGGAGTGCCATGGAAAGATAATTCTAAGCCAGAGGGTCAACAGTTTTTAAAGCTTAAAGAAGCAATGTGATAGTTTATTCATGATTTTCCTGGATTATAATTTTGTTCAAAACTTCAAACTAATGGGAAAATGCTTTTACTTAGACTATGGACCTGGATTCTTGGAATATAGTCACGAAGTTTATAAAAATGCATATATATTGGTCATTGGTGTTTACCTATGGATCATCCATTTAGGTCTATTAGTAGAACGTAAGAGTGAGAAATGACTCCAGAACAATAAGCAATATATTATTATTTGGTTAGACAAGAAGATCAAATATCATTACCTAATGATATCAAATGGTTATATTCACATTTTATCAACTTCCATATTTTTATAACTTGCCAATAGCATTTTTAAAGGATTATATGCATATATTTAAGAATGTTTTCGAACCTTTATATAAAACTATTACTGGTAAAAATTATGAATTAAGTACTAAAAAAGACTTAGTTGTATGTAGAATAAAGTAAAATATGTGGCTGTGATGTGATAGAAAAATTGATCATGGAACTTAGATATTAACAAGTTATCAAAATAAATTATTAATTGATAATATAGAGTCTTTTAAAGTGCTTACAATGATAAATTGCATAGATTTAGCACTATGATTAGGAGATTGGGATTAGAAGTTAGTTTAAAATTTCTGAAAATAATTTTATGATTTAATTTTCCAGAGAGATATGCCAACTAAAAATAAGAAGGCTTTAAATAAAATAGAAATATTGTAAATACACTCTAATGTAAAAGGAAAAATATAAGAGCTCTTCCAAGTAAGAAGTCTTCCTTAAAATAAATATTTAATATATATCCATTAAATATTATTCAAGATTATATGGTAAATAATTTTATTTACAAAAAAATTTATTATCAAAAGAGTTAACTGATCCAAATCCTATTTTAAAGATTTCAACATTTAGTAATAACATGTTTCAAGCTATTGTAATAAAAAGCTAAACAATAAATCATAGTTTCTTCCCATTTATATGATGAACAGTTACTAATATATTTATTTGAAAAAAAAATTAGAAAACTAAATATTTATTAAGTAAAAAATAATATATGCATATCTTGATATAGCTGAATAAAAATATTTTAAAATAAATTTAATTAAATGAACTTTTTTAATACGACAAGGCATATGGTTTATAAAACAAATGTTTACTATTAATTTTGTGAGATAAAAACAAATTTATATCACTGAAAGAATAGTGTTATTTTTAATTTAATTCACAGTCTAAATTAAAGAATATTTTATTTTTAAAACTTTACTGTCAGTAATGGTGAAGAAAATATAAGTAAAAATATTTTATATATAATCTAATACTCTTAAATTAGTGGATAATGTATAAATTCATAAAAAATCTAAATCAGAAAATCTAAACTTGATTAATTCATATGTTTGTATTGCTAGTTATTTATTTTTCTAAAGTAAAGCATTAA